TCCTCCAGAGCCCCCCCCGCTGGCCGCGGCTGCGCTGCCCGCTCCGGGGAGCACGGCCAGCCCTGCCCGGCGCGTTGGGAAAGCCGCCCGTCCGGGCTGCGCCCTAAAACGTGCCGGCTCCCGGCACACAGCCCGGCACCTGGGAGGTCAGGGGAAAGTGGATCAATAAATAACGCGTAGACAGACGTCAGATGACGCATAGCGTCACACCTGATCCTGAGCGCAACTCCCGCTGCAGGCGGCGCGGCTGTTACCTGAGGAAAGGTTCATCTCCTGACTTCAGGGTCTGGCCCGCGCCGTGACACTGCTTCTACCAGAACATTCGGCACCCGCGATCACAAACAGCATAAACCTGAGGGAATGACTCACATCACTCACCTCTTCTTCACAGAGCAAAAAGCGTTCTTTCTCGAGCTGTTACTGTCGCTCACTGAAAACACCAGATCTTTGTGGGGGTCGAATACGTTTGTTTCTGGCCCATTTCTGGCCCTCCTGCTACTGAAGGAGGCTCCACGGCGGGTTTGGCCTTCCCTGGGCTGGGCACGGTCCCGCTGCCCTCGCTGACCTGTGAGCGATGCCCCCGGCTTCTGCCACTGGGGAGAGGCGTGCGCCAGCTGCGCCGGACCAGCAGCGGGGCGTCACGGGGCCACCGTGGGCGCAGCTTCCATCCGCTAATTCTACAGATGCGCAACCGTGCAGATAATTAACTTGTCGAGATGCCAGCTGTCAGGTGCTTACACCTGCTTAGTTCTTAACAGTCGTGCAAGCAGCAGAATATATTCCAGCACCTTAGAAACTACTCTCAGCTATCCTGAGCGAACGACTGCCACCCCTGGCAGCCAGACACTGCTCGTGGGCAGAAAAGTAGTACCTAAGCGGATCAACACGAGGTGAAAAAAGGTGGTTTTTTTTCAGCTAGGTGATACCTAAAAGCCATCCCATACGGAGTAAATTCTTAGCAGGCTAACTCATGTAGCTGTCCAAGGGCATGTAGGAGCCACAGTGGAAAAAACAAACAGGCAGGCATATGAAAAATTTTCGTTTTATGAAGCACAAATGTTAAAGTGTAACTGTACACTGCAGTAACTTTTAAATGTCATAAAAAATGTTTTCTTAAAGTGTAGCATTTAGTAATTGCACAAAATTATATTACAAAAACATAAAAAGGTGTGTTTAATGCCTTGATTCACAGTAAGGAGAATACTTTTGTAAGCTGACTATTCTTATCTCTACCCCCATTATTTCACTTGATCAGCTTTCTCTGCACAAGTGTAGAAAGCAGTTCACAGACGTGAATACAGCAATCCATCCAGCAAAACAGGTTTCAGAGTTACCATCAACAGAGCTAAACAACAATAGCAGAGTCCTTTCAAATTAAAAAAAGCGGTCTGGTTGAGAGACCAGCCACTCAGAACTCCCCGTACTGTAAACTAACTTCTCACTTGAGTTACAGAAAAGATTTACTTTGTGACAGCTAAAAGGTATAATTCACTATTAAACTGCAAAATGAAGTAACTACTCTTTCTGCTGCATCTGAACGTCATTTTCGTTTCTCTGTGGACAATCCAACCTGAACTATACCTGGAGAGATGAGAGAAATGTTCGTTAAAAATGAATGTTGTGTATTTTCAGTTTTCAGGTATATACTCACAGAATGATAAAAATAGAAAAAGGCAAGATCTGTATGTTGAGTCCAGAAATAAAGTTGGACAATATCAATTCGTATGTTATAAAATAATAGTGGTTCTCCCTTATTCATCTTCTTATGTATTCAGTTTTTTGGTCCATATCTGAATCTGATGAGTCACTTTCATCAGATGAATGAGAGGAATTTTGCCATTCACGAGAGCCGTTATGACAGTGTGGTTGCTGCGCACTTTCTGTGTCATCCAGGAGTTTTGATTCAAAAGCACGAGTACACTGCCAGTCAACTGCATCTTCCTGGGAAGAAAGGAGAGCTGCAGAACTATCCACGTTCTCTTCACAGGCTCCCAACAGCACAGTTTTCAAGTTAATGGTAAAGCAAGCACTGTTCCTTTGCCTCGAAGAATAGTTACAGTTTACCTCAGGGAAAGGACTAAGTAACTCACTACTTGCGTCTTTGTCTTCTTCAACGTCCGTCTCATGCTCTTCAAAATCTTCTGGCTCAGCATCTGGATTTTCACTTTCCTGGCTGCTGCTGTCATCACACGCTCTATTGGCAGAGTACTGCACGAATGCATTTGGCCTGTCAGAGGAATGAGGTACTCTACCTATCATATCACGCTTTGTATAGTCATGATTACTTATGTCATCGCTGTCACTGTCGTCACTGTCATCACTGTCATCTTTATCACTGACACCACCACTGGATTCATTTGCCTTTTTTTTGATCTCTTTGTAAATGATCTCTACAGAGGCTATTTCTTCAGATTCAAATGTCCAAGGTGAATATACTAACGTCCTGATGAATACCTAGAAGAGCAAAGTGAATGAAAAAAAAAAAAATCAGCCAAATTTGCATATGCGCACAGAAAAAGATGAAAAAAAAACCCCAACCCCAATCATGAGGTTGTCAAACAAACAATTCCTTCTGTGACACGTTTCTGGCTTTTTCTGCAGAGTTCAGGGCATCTTCCCCATTCCTGTAACTATGACAGCCTTCACTACAAATCAAGGCACACAGCATTGGACAGCCTCAAAGAAATGACACTACTCCCAAGCAGCGTCAGGTATGAAATGTTTTACTTCAAATTTTTAGGTATCTTTCTATGACTAATAGCTCATTTTAGAAATACATCTTAAACCTGAGGTGAGTTTTGCAACTCTCTATTAGCTCTTGCAGTTACCGTGCAAGAGAGAAGCCTTACCTGGACAATCAACTTCAACGTCCTGTAGAAATGTACCATTTGAAGCAATGAACTATATAAAATCCTAAGTCCCATTTTCTCAGTTTTACTCTGCACTTCTGAGGATTATTGAATATTCGAAACATTGGGGGAAAACGTTGACAATAAAAAAATTAACCTCAGACACTACTTGGCAAAGTCACATTCATCAATCTTAGAGATATGAAGGTAATGACATAGCAAAGGACAGACACATGAGGAAAAAAGTCTTAGAAAAAGTTGATGCCAATCTACTCTGGATATGTTTGTAGAAAACGGAAAATATTTATGCCAAAAAATCCCATAGAATTAAATGTAAAAGAAGTCAGAGGTTATAAAAAAAAAAAGAAAGCAAGCAAAGATGGATAGAAACAAGTCCTAGGAATCTTGTTATTTTTGCTTGAAAATCAGTGGCAGTTTAGTCTCTTCTCTTTCTATTAAAATAAAAAATTAGCCGACTTGGGACTGGCTTCCTCAAGCGCTAAAACATGACACTTGATCACAGAAAAAGTCAAAGAAAGATTATTTTATTCAAAATGGCGGAACAATTTGAGTGATATATTATCATTACCTTTCTTTCTTCCTTAAGTACTCTTCCTTAATCATGGACTTTTTTGCCGATCACTATATGTGACTACTGAGAATAGCTTAGCATTTGGAAGGCGGTGCAGGCACTGTCTGCCTTGTGTATATGCCCGTCCTCCCCCTTACCCCACCACGAGTAAGTTTTCTTCCAGAGCTCTGTTGTTTCTTTTCTTTTCCTTTGCTTTTTGTTTTCATTCAACTCCAATATTCAGGTAGATTATGACAGCCTGGTCCAGGAGTTAGTTTCTAAGATACTGTGCCAGCTCTAGATTCTGGCAGAGAGAACTTGCATATGAATATCCTTTTTTTCCTACTAAGTTTTCCACTATCAGGCATCCTTTTCACTAATCCCTCTTTATAACAGAATACAGTAATAAATCATTACTGAGACTGGAGAAGGAAGACAGACATCAGGCTACCCAGAGAAGTGATCCTGAACTTGCTAGTAACAGTTCTGGGACTAACAGCTAGGATACTTTTCTGTCAGGGACATATCTGCACATAACTGCATCCCAATCTACGGTATGAGATACACACGAAACCGGAAGGTTGGGGACCTGCAAGATATATCTGATTTCAGTAAAGAGAAAATTTCCTTTGACTGAGAAGCTACTGTTGATGTTACAAAGCAGACTCAGGAAACCTGAGAAACAACACGCTTTAAAGACTGCTTCCTCAAAGCAGCGTCTCATCTCTACCGAGGTCTTTGATGGTCTGTCCTTTGTCTCCTCCTTGCTGAGGTGAATTGAGAGTAAGTTCTTATTTGTTGTGTGTGAGATCATTTCTAACAACCATCCAGATCTTGCTCTTACCAGGCTGCTGAACTTTTACTTTTAGCACTTCTCACATGCTGTCCTTGACTCCTTTTGTGGACAACAAACATGAAGCATAGCTTTAGGTCTTCGAGCACTAACAGTGACTCTTTTCTTCTCCAGATGTACCTAAATAACTGGCCCTTCTTTTGGGGATAATAAGACCAAAACTCCCAACTCTAGGCCATTTTTATGCATCGCTACAGGAACAATACGCCCATACCCAACTGGGTCTTAAAGCTACCTTTTGTCTTTTCAGCTTGCTTCCCTATGGAAACATGATAAAGAAAGGACCTTGAAGGCAAGTTTAAAATATTTGCTTCCAGTTGTAGAATCTCTCCAAATGTCTTTAAACTCCAGCAACCAGGAACCTGGCTAAACTATCCTCAAAGCTTCAGGGAATGCTCTGATTTTTGGGGTAATAAACGGGAAAATATTATAAGGGTAATTTGTTTTGTTCTTAGAGAGGAGTACAGTGCTGCAGGGTGAAATAACAGAGGCAAAATGTGCCAGAAACTGCTTTCCTAAGGAGCAATGGATACACATTGCTCCTGAATGCTTCCAGAGCATACTTCTTGGTGGAGAACAGGTCTTCTCCCTCTGCACTTCACTTAAGACCTGGAGTGGGTTTTTTGTTTTGGAGTTATTGCCCTGGCTCAGGTAGTAGAAGAAATTTGTCTGCTGCAGGAAGGATTTACGTATAAGGTAATTTTCAAAGGGCGAGAGGTTAATTGTCCTACGCTGGGTGCTCTGCTATAGGACCTAGCCTGCTTCTGTGTACCATAAAGAGTTAATTTAAAGTTACTTTGGGGGGAGTCTCCCCTTCACTACTGCCTGCACCCTAACTTCATAGAATCATAGAACAGCCCAGGCTGGAAGGGACCTCGGAAGACCATCTGGTCCAACCATTCATGGGAGAGGGAGCCTAGATGAGATTATCTAGCACCCTGTCCAATTGCATATTGAAAACCTCTAGGGATGGGGACTCTACCACGTCCTTGGGGAGGTTGTTCCAGTGATTGATTGTTCTCACTGTAAAAAATGTCTTTCTTATATGGAGATGAAACCTCTCATGGTGCAACTTGTACCCACTGCCCCTTGTTTTGAGAGCCTCGGTCCTGTTTGTAGCCACTCTAAGTACTGGAATACTGTGATGAGGTCCCCCCTGAGCCTTCTCTTCTCCAGGGAGAAAAGACCTAACTCCTTTCGTCTTTCCTCACAGGGCAGGTTCTCCAGCCCTTTGGTCATCTTCGTGGCCCTCCTCTGGACCCTCTCCAGCCTGTCTGCATCTTTCTTGCACCATGGGGACCAGAACTGGACATAGTATTCCAGGTGCAGCCTGACAAGTGCTGAGTAGGGTGGGATGATCACACCTCTATCTCTGTTAGTAAATTGTCACAGAAGTAGCAAGAAATGGTTTTGAAAAAGACTGAATATCTGTTCCACAGAACAGACAAGATTTAGCAGCCTATGGACTATCTTTGACATAGGTAAACTGCAAATTAAAACATTGCATGTACTTACATAACTTGTACCTAATGCACAGGATTAGAAATTTCAGATGGTAAGCTTCCTCCTCCCAACCAGGAAGGTTAAATATGAGAATTATTACATACCAAGGTATGTGGAAGTGATTTTTTTTGAAGAATATAACCTCCTGTATGCATACACTTCAGGGCACCAGCTAACAGCAGTGAGAAACATACAGCACCTGCGATTGCACCTATATGATAATCTGCAAGTGAAAAAAACAAACAAACATACATACATGAATGAAGTTTCCAATGATCACGTTTCATATTTCACATTCAGAACAGGTATTTAGAATCACAGAATAATTTTGGTTAGAAGGGACCTCTGGAGGTCATCTGGTCCAAAGTCAAAACAAGACCAAATCTCAAATTAGATGCAGAAGTTAAAATAGAAATTACAGCATCCTTGATAGCTATTTAGGGAGTTAGTGGAGATTTGTATGGCTCACAGGATTAACAATAGATTTGTAGCCCCAAAGCGGATGGGTTTTTATATTTCAGTTATAAATCCCCACAATGTTTATCACTCGGAAGGTACTTTCTCTCTTTTTATTTTTAGGATTAATTGACTTCTACATCTTCCTATGCAAAAAGAAAACACTTGCACATAATCAAGTCAGACAATCCAGTCCTGCACCACAGCACAGTTACCTTGTTGAGCTACAGAGTCTGCAGTTATACATTTCCAGGCTGATGGGATGGAATGTTTGTTTAGAGATGCAGTGACTGTAACAGACACACAGTAATTTCTATTTGGATACAATTCTTCAATGACAGTATTAAAAATTTCTTCAGTGGTTTTCTCACGTGGTCTCTGCCATGAAAGACAATGTTTTAAAGTTAGCTATTTGCCTAAAAAGAGATCCCCAACCACTGATAAAACATTATGGCTATTTCAGAGAAATGCAGTAGCACGTGAATCTGCAAAAACTGACACAGTAACTCAGTGGTTTACCTAGACAACTGCTTCATCTCTAGTTCTAGCTGATGTCAAGCTGCCTACCTTACACCTGTTTGCGAGATATCGTATTATAAAGATAAACTGCCTTCTGTCTCCAACTGTTGGTCACTGTATGTCCCCTTGAAGTAGCCTCACATAGATTCTATGGATTTGAAACTGCAAGTGATATTCTGATTCAGAAATCAGGGGAAAAATATCCATGGCAGGCAAGTTGTGGTCCTTCTTCTGCGACTCACGGCAGAATGAGTTAGACAGATTAAATTCCTAACAGGTCTGACCTGCTGTTCAAAACTTCCAGTACAGGTAAGTCCATGCTCTAGTTCGCCAACTTACTCCAGCGCTTTGCCAGCCCAGGTATTAATGCCTCTCTTGGTGTTTAACCTAAGGTCTGCACAACTGCCAATTTCACTTCACTGTTTTTGGTCCAAGACAGTGAATGGTTTATTTCCTCCTTTTCTGTAGTAAATGTTTACATATTCAGAGACTCTGACCTCTAACTGTAGCTTTGCTTGCTTACACTAAGCGGTCCCCTATTATTTCAGCATTTCCTCATAGGTCGTGTCAGGATCCCCCCCAGTCCTCACTGCTCCTTTTTGGATCCTGCTCAACTGGCCCATGCCTTTTCTGAACCCCAGACTGGTGCTGGGCAGGCTTTACAAGTACTGAGTACGTAAAAATATAATTTTTTCATCTCTCAGCAACATGCGAGTCACACTTAGCTTGTAATATTATAGAATGCTCTCATCCTTTCTGGCAAAACTGCTGCCTGTGTAGCTGTTATCACTCTACTTATTACACAAACAATTATTCTTAAGTGTTATGCCTTGCATTGGTCCTTATTATCTCCTATTATTTTAAGATTATTTCTCCACTTTGCGAGGATCATTTTAAGTTCTAATCATGCCTATCTACCTCTCCATTCCACCACACACACAAAAAAAAATTAAATAGAACCAGACCCAGAATAGGTTGTTTCAGAAACTAACTGGATACATTTTTCCAGTTTGACACAAAACTACTGAACTGCTTTCGGAACTTATTTTCCTATCAGTTGTGCATACACCTGCTAGTAGTTTCTGCTAAACTGTCTTTCCCTTGTCTTCCCGGAGAATAATCACTTGAGCCAGTGCCCTGTGCTTTATTTCAAGTAAGGATACAGGACAACTAGTATTCCTCTTCTAGGCCTGCTTCTCTGCAGTAAAAGGAAGCTAAGATTACATTGGCCATTCTGTTTTCTTCTAAGTGTCTTCTATTGACATATTTGCTACTGTGAATTTGCTAACCATCAGAGCCAGTTTATGCCTTCTATATTTCTCCCCTAACACACAAATAAAACAAAAAGTTCTTTACCTTATGCTCTCTATCAAGTGTTTTCAGTGTTATATCATAATCAAGTTCTTGATATATATCAATTAAAGACCGCAGTTTTTCATTTTTTCTGAAGTGAGAGGTTGGCAGCTTTATGGTGACATTTATGCAGTTTAGACAGGAACTGATATTAACTTCTGGTGGTCCCAGGGATGCTATTGAGAAAAAGACAGAGGAAAAAAAATATGGAAAAAAATATACACTATGTATTCAGTACCAGTTCTATTTCGGTGACAGATACAGAACGGACTAATCAGATTCCAGAGTATATCACTGTTGTAAATCCACAAGGCCTTGCAACATTTCAGTTCCACGGTCAAACGATCTTTTCCCATGTGACTAGATTTTAAAAACAGAAAGCAGTGGAAGGGAGGGAAAAAGCAGAAAGGTGACAGAGGCTTTACTTCAGCTCCACAGAGATGTGAGCTTTTTATCTCTTTGAGAGGAAAGCTGAGGTTAATGCACAGGAGAAGCTGATTACTTTCTTGCTCATCATCATCTTTTAGTCACTCTCTGGAAGGAATCTTTGTAGAAATTCAGTGGTGTGTAGCCCTGCACATACTCATACTGGTTGCAAGGAAGGCAATAGGTCTAAACTTGACAGCTGAGCTCCAAAGACTAAAAACTCTACCAACAGTAGGACAGAGGACCTAGCAAAACATAGTTACACTTCTGTGAGACTTCCATTGTGTTCAAAGTAATCTCTCAAGTTCAGGTCCTCAGAACATGTATGTGTTTGAAGAGCCGTGCACACTAATTGCCTCCTCTCTCCAAAACTACACGTGCATCAAGATCAGAGAAAATTCCATGGTGAATCAAGCCTAAGATCTTCTTCCCTCCAACAGAGGGAAAGTGGTAGGAATGTTGAAAAATGGTGTGAGAACAAACTATCTTCGTAATCCTCCATTTCTGCATAGTACATTGTGTGTGGGGGGAAACATGAACATTTAGAGTTTGCATTTCACTTTTCTTTTCCAGAAGCATGTACATTTTGATCAAGGTGGAGAGTGGTTTGCCAACCTCTGCAAAATTCAAAAAAGCAATATACATTTCCTAACTATTTCTGTTCCTGCAATAGCGTAGAAAGAAAAAAAAAAAAACAAGTTTAATACTTAGAACAAATGTGAGCTTTCATCTGCTCTCAAACAGGAAAGCATGTCTTAGTCACATGGTTGCACACTTACTCTTTTCTCATCTTTTAAGTCACAAATAAACATTAGCTTAAATTTGTTTACAGTCAAATGTAGTTGTTCTCCTGGCTCTTTGTTATGAAGCCTTTCTGTATTTGCTCAATCCATCTGTCAACAAGAGTGAGATTCCACTGTAGGTATTTGAAGGCAGATATCAACTATACCCAGAAATATCTCAGAATATTAATTCTTTCCTATTTAGGCACTGTAAAACAAAAAAGGACTACAGCGTTCATCTAAGTCCCATGCCCTGGAAAACATGACTTCACTCACTTGCTAATTGTTTGAACTAGAGAACTACTAGCCAAACATCCAATTTCAATTTACAAGTGGCCAGTGATGGACAATCAGTCAGAGCACCTGACAGTTTGTTCCAGTGGTCAATTTGAAATATGCCTCTTTTTCCTAGCTAAAATTTATCTAGCTTCAGCTTCCAGTCAGGGCATCCTGTTACGCTTTGTTTACAAGACTGAAGAAGCCTGCCATCATATTAACTAGTGGTCAATGCACCTTCTGATCCTTCTCTTTATGAAAGTAACTGCTGAAAGACTGAAGGTCTCCACCTCAGAGGGATGTTCTCAAATCCTTCAGTCATCCTTGTGGCTATTCTCCCCATGCCCTCCAATTTTTCATCAGTTCTGAGACCACAAGCGGACACAGCAGCGGCTACCTCTGTGCTGAATTCAGAGGTAACATGACCTATTTCTCCTCCATAGTCCTCCAACTGTTCCTCAATCTCTCTGTTACTTCAAAACCGAATACTAAGCACACCTAAGGGAGAAGCCACCTCTAGCATTAGAAGATGTCACAGATAACAAGCATCTTCTTTCAGCAAGGAAAGGGAAAAGAGCGGGGTGATGAACAAACAAGTAAATCTCTTCCCCTACATCTAATGCAGACATGGTATTTCTTTAACTCTTTAACATTGACTACTTGAGAACATAAAAACAATGTTGGCTTTTTTTTTTTTTAAGTTATGTATCTTATGCACTTAGAGATTTTTACTTTGTGCTTGTCAATGCTTGACACAACGTTATTTCCTCTATATTTATATACATATATTCTATTTCAAAACCAGAGCCTCATGCATCTATCAGAACTACTGTAGCCACTAATTTTAGAAAGCTGTCTATATATTCTATGTCTTGTAACTGATATGTGATAGATTATATACAAATTCCTACTCTCATAGATAAAGGAATAAGCTACTGACCAAGTTAGTTTGGAGTGTCTTACTGTAAAGCTAGCAGAATATCATTTATACATCAGCTACGAATAAAAATTACTAAAATAAGCAAATGCAGACAGAGAACTTACTGTCAGTATATGGCACAAAATTAAGTACAGAAGAATTGAATACTTCGGTTCCTATGATGCTCTGAACCAATGCAGAATACTGAGTGGAAAGCTCTTTAAAATCATCTGTCAGATTACAGGAGAGTTGTGTAATATCTGAACATTGTTTAGCAGTCTTCCAGTTCCTGTAAATCAAAAATTAAAAAAAGATCAAAATAATCTATCTGGATTCTCTGATACAAGAAAACATTGGCGGGGAGAGGAAAGCATTTCTGAGTGGAAAAACAAACAAACAAACAAACAAGAAAACCCCAGCCTTAGTGTTTTGAGTCGATAAACATTGAAAGTAAAATTTGTGTCTTATAAAATAAGACTTGCCTGCGGTCAGTGTACAGCACACGATAGTATGTTGGCACAGTTGGATCGCTTTCTGCCTGCCAGGACAAAATGTGCTCAAAATTGGAAGATGCCATTCGTAGGTTGTGAGGTGGCCCTCCCAGAAATCTTTCTAGAAAGGGAAAAAACCCCAAATCAAACAACCCACCAATATGAATGGCAAACAAATGTGAGATTGCAACAATTCTAATCAATAAACCCAATTACAGCAGCCCAATATTTGCCCCAAAATAAAGCAACATAGAACAGAGTTCAGCCCAACAGAAACAACAATGCAAAGGACTGTCCTCCTATATTATATTTCTATTAAGTTCTTTCTTCAAAAAGCATGAAGTTTTAAAATGATGCTTGGTGAGAATATGCAAGTTTTTTGAACTGTGTTAGGAAAAGTATTTGAAAGACAATAAAAACTCTTACCGGGCAAGCTGCAACAAGCTGTAGTCAGAATGCTGATGTACACTGGAAAATGAAACTGTGTATTAATGTATTTGTATGTCTACAATATCTGATTAGTAGCTTACTATTGGTGATATTAATTTGCAACCACTAGAGACAGTAATTCTCACTATTCCCTCAGTGGAACTGTGTCTTTCTTTCACATCTTCCTACTACTTTCCCCTACCCTTCCCTCCTTTCCCAGAGTAGAGGATGTCCCCTTCCAACCTCTGTCATTAATTTGAGGCTCCTAGGAGCTAGTTCTTTGATAACTATACTGTGGTTCAGGCTTATGCTGATCCCTGCCAGGTGAGGTTCAAGACCCAGTGTGAATAAAAGATGTTCTTATCAAATATTGTTTTAGAGGATTCTGACTATATTTCATGTACCTCACTCTATTAAACACCAACTTAAGTCATTACAAGAATCTTAAAACTGGTCTGGGAAAAGATACTATTACTGCTTGAAGAACATTATTGAATCATCTTCACAGATGTCCTTCTTTGCTAAACGTGGGGAGTCCTCAAGGCTGTAGTTTAACAACTTTGGTGTATTACTCACTGTCTTCAGTCAGCTAACTCCTGTAACTCCCTATTTTGTGTCCTGTTTCTGTAACATTTCCCTGTGAGTGTTTAACTCTACAGCACTCTATTCTCTGCCTGCAAAAGAAAAGAAAAAAACGCCAACAGATGCTGCAACACCGTTTCTCCTGTCACAGGGCATGACTAAGGCCACAGTCAGCCTGTCAGTCAGGCCTACTGTCCGAGTAATCTCTTGAACCCAGCCTTCTTGCAGATCCTGACATTCTAGAGGTCCCCACATCTTCTTGTATAACCTCCGTAAGAGCCTGTTCATTCATCCAGATTCTCACTATATCCACAATTCTTTTCCTTGACCAACCCAGTCTTGCATCATTCATATCTTTTCAGCATGGCACTTCAAGACACTCTTGAAATTATTGTTCTGACCCTTCTTTTTTTCTCAAGATCCTTTAGCTCCCTTCCACTTTCTGAGCGCAACAAATATAAACTTCCTGTCCTCATTTTAAAGGCATTTTGTGGCCTATCCTCCTAGTGATGAGATGCCAACTCCCATACTCAGTTGGCCAACAAGTTATTAGTTTAATTTCAAACATGCATGCTTTTTCTCATGCTTTAAATGAACTCCATGGAAATATCTCCAAAATTACTTCATTATTTTCCCTCAAACTCTTCTCCATGAACTCTCTTTTGTCTTGACATCTAAACCCTCTACCCAAAAATATGACAATACCCAAAACACTGCTGGCCTGCTACCTCTCTTGACCTGTGCTGATTAATACTGCCTTAACATGTTCTTTTATTCTCCTCATCTCACTTTGAATAGTAACTTCTGTAGCATGAGGAATGTCTTTGACTTTACATTTGTACAGCAACTAACACAGTAGCACTCTGGCCCACAACTGAGGTTCTCAGGTGCCACACTATGACAAATAATATAACAGAACTACTTGATATGTCAACGAGATGTGCCGCAGTAAGAATGACAGTGAAAAGAAATCTGGGACATACCTCATAAAAAAGTGAAACGATCTTTACGGAGATCTACAAATAATGGATAGGACAGGACTATCACAGAATGGTTGAGGTTGGAAGGGACCTCCGGAGGTCATCTGGTCCAATCCCTGACTATGTGAAACGTAGTGCCAGAATACATATTTCTGGTAAAGCAGAGGGGATTCAGAATAGTAGTGGGTCAGCGGGAACTGTCTTGTCCCAGACACACTGGGAGAATTTCCTAATGGATTAATGCAGTTATTTTATGATCCTTGTCTACTTTTGCAGAGGGTACTGGAAGAGGAAAGGAAATATTTCCTACTCAATTAATTAAAGAGATATCTGCACGGAATCTTTATGGCTGCAGAGAAGTGCCCTAAAAATTGCCCTTTAATTAGCAGTGGGCACACAGAGAAGCATACACTAATACACTTGAGTGCCTAAGTTTGTTGAAATCATTTGGGATGCATACTTAGCCAAGTATCTCTTACAAATCTGGCTCTTCGGACACCTGTCTCACAAATATTAAACTATGCTCCCAGCATCCCTTCTGAAATTAGATGCAAAGAGATTAAGCAGCTCACTTCAGTTGCACATGCAGCAAATTTATATTTCCATAAGACAGAAAACTCCTCTCTCGCAAGCTTCATTTCACCATTCAAACCACAGACATCCTCTCTCTTCTAAGTCTTCCTTTTGCATTCGTTCTTTTATGTTATTACTGAATAATAAACGTCCCCTTAGAGAAGCGAAGTGAAAAGTAGAACAACTGATTTCTTGCCACATAGTAACAGATCACCTATCTGGAAAAAACATCCAGTGGGTATGAATAACAAAGCAATACAACAGTTATTATTCTTCACCTGAACACAATCTCAGGTTTGTAATCATTTGTGGCAGGAATTCTCCCTTCTTCCAAGAGGCACACAGCCTTTAACACATTAAGGTTATTCCCATTACAGAAACACAGTGTCAGTGCACAGACTCTAGCAATGACACGCGTCCTTAGAGCAAGCCCTTCGGATTAGGAGAAGCAAACAGTCTTTTGCCAAAATGCAAAATTATGCCAGCCACCTCACATGTCAGCTGTCTTGCTGATGTATTTTCTGTTGACATAAATGTTTTTCTATTCTGTCCATATTTGTGATTTTTAAATGCCTCTCCCCTATCAAAATCAAATTCCGTTCATCTAGAGTTCAAACTGCCTCAGAACTTTGTTTCAACAAACATGTTTAGCAAAGATAGTTGGAGAGTTGCAAAATTTTGCAGGTTACACTTTTCCATAAGAGACACAGACAAGAAAAAAAAAAAAATCTTAGACCAAATAACTGGGAAAATTAACACTGGAGAAATAAAGACCCTCTGTAAACTGTATGGGGAATCTTCTTTACCATCTTATCCTTTTTACAGAATTAAATGACCCTATCAAAACAGTTTCTCACTACAACCACAGCTCAGCCAACAAACTATGTTTGTTCTGCCTGCTAATGCAGAAACTAAGGAGTCCTGAAAAAAATTTGAACAAGAAATGAAAAACAACACATCCAACTAAGATTTCACTGGTCATTTAGAGAGGCAGAATGCAGTACGCTGTTTCAAATAATTTCTTTCTTATGGGAAAAATCACAGTTTATGTATAGAATGGAGTACGTAGAATATAATACACTAGATTCTTGATTCTGTGAATTATTCCAGGGAGAGCTGTACAATAAGATGATGGTATTTTACTTCAGTAACTCAGGAGGAACGTTAGTGAGAAATTAGCAGTACTACTCCTCTTACAATATAAAGGTACAGGCAACTTACCAAGTTGATAAAAATGCATTGGTCCATCCATCAGTGTTTCCACAGTGATTAAGAAATATAACCTACTGATTGCAAAATAAACATCTTGCTTCTGTACCTGCAAATACATTAAAAATAATCACATTCAGCAAATCATCTTAGTAAATTACTTGCAAGTAAAACAAGGTCTATGTACAAAGAGTTATTTTAACCTCTTCAATGTTTGGGGGGAGGCAGTGGTACCAAAACCGTTACTGCTATGGCGGGAGGTGGGCGGGCAAGGATCCCCAAATTAGACAGGCAATTTCATGACAATAGCACTTTCCTTTTTTCACATGGAAAGGGCTTTTACCATTTAAAATAAATACAGAAAGCATTGTATGATTATTTGTATTAATTTTGCATGAAGATAGTATCTGAAAATTCTTTGCCACTCACTCCAACTTATTAAATACAATGAAAATAAACATTGCTTGGCTTTATTTGAAATATTACAAGAACTCATCACTGTTGCAAAAAAATGTTTCCAGAAAGAAGGTAGATCAAGAGGGAGGTTAAAAAAAAAATTCTAAAATTATTAATTAAATGGAAGTTATGAAGTTTATGTTACAATTTTTTAAATATTCCCTCTCCTCAATGTTATTATTTTACTCTATTTATTATCCTCACAGAATTAATATTCGCAGGATCAGGTTTTGAATTACAGGCAAAGTACTAAGGAACAACTGTGAATCTATAGATGGCTGGGCAAGGGTCTAACTCTTTCCAAATAATCTTCAACTCAAGTTTAATACAAATAAATTGGTTTTTAATTTAAAAGGATTTTTAAATACAACTTAAATTATTTTCTCTTAAACAGCTTAAAATTTAAAATTGTGACAAACCATACTATGGTCAAACTTAACACAGTATGTTAAAATCAGATGAATTAAGAAAACCCTTATCTGAGATATCAGTCTTCCTCTGCTCAAAGTTTTAGCATGACTATAGGAAGTCACTGGATAAATGCTGAGAACCTGTATCTGTGCAACTGATAATCATAATTCCACAGACAAAGAGAATGTTCTTTTCATTTCAGTTTGGTTCATTTTATTAATTCATTCAAGCATGAGGAATGTTTAGGAGATATAAAATACCAGTCTTCCTCTTTTCAATCAAAATTAAAAATGATGGATAAGAAGACAAGATTTACTAGTTACAAAATCTTTAACACTGATATCAGCAAACTAGAAAGTGATTAAGTTGCACGTATCTATCAAGTCCATTTGGTTTTGGCACTAGTGAATGTGACAGAAGATAAAAATAATTTGACTTCCTCATTCAGATCAAGCTTACAGATTACACAAGTAGGGAAAAAAAAAAAATCTTTCTACTTCAACAAGGTTAATAGCTTTGTTCAGAAGTCACACAGAAACCTAATGCCAAACAATGTTATTTCACAGTCACTTTAAAGAACAGTTACACCTGCAGGATCTGATTTTTCAGGCTGTTCAAAATTTTCTCTTAAAGAGAAAACTTTGAGGATCCTGCATTCACTTAGCAAAATATTACCTTTATGCCTTAATCCTTGCAATTAACCACAAGACATGTTCAAAGCACTCCATATACGGTATTATGCAATAGATGAATTTGCGTACCTTCGATCCTTCCTGTACATGCTGTCACGAGTAACAACTATCCCACTCTTGGAATCTGAAGTGACTCGTGTATGGCTCTGTATGCTGAACAACACATGTGTCTTACGTGATGCATATTCAAAGCCAAGTTACGCATGTAGCACCTTAGAATACGTAAGAAAAATGTGATAAAACAGGTTTATCTCCAAGTTTGCGCAGTTGTCTAAATCTGGATGTCTTCTGCAGACCTATCAATGCCAGTGAAATTCCAGGGGAAATTCCAGGGGAAAACCATTTCTGTCAGAACTCTGATTCGCTTTTGCTGCTCTTCCTCTTCAGAGCTTCAGCAGTCCCTGGAAAGAAGCCATGGAAATACTAGTGAGTCCAGCCCCCACTCACCTCATCAGCCTGGGCTCACAGCAACTCCCCTGGGAGCTGCCTGAAGCCCCCAGTGCTTTCAAAACTCAGCTTCGCACTTCCACATCATCTTCAGTGGCAGATCATTTTTAACTGGAGTCCAGGCTGGGTTGTTTTGTATTTGCTTCCAATCAGAAAAAAAACGGGCTTTGAAGTTTTGAAAGTCACTGGCTTGTGTTGCAGAAAAGCGCCACATCAGTAAAGCAGAAAACATGCCCTATTCTTTGAAACAAGCAGATGGTATATTTATTTATAGAAATCTACTTATCAGAATATCGAGAAAGAGACAGACACCACAGGAGATGTTTCAGGCAGAGAAGTCAGCAGAGGAATGTTCTAAGCCTACACAGGTTAATACAATGTATGGATCAACTTTACCACTGAAACCATGTGAACTAGGGAATCGCACTGTGGGTTGCAATGTTATGCCCACACCCTATTCTAGGCTTTGCTGGGGAACTTTGCAGAAGTCGCTTCTAAGGATATCGAAATCATTCAACCTTAATGATCCAAGTCCATTAACCAGAAGTCCCATTTTCCACGCACTGCCGGCAGCGCTCCTGCTGAGCCGGACGTGCCGCTGGAGGAACCAGGGTGGGACACACAGCATTGCGAGACACTAACAGGCTCCTCGGCTGCCCTGCGCCACCCCGGCAGGGCGAGGGGGACAAGGAAACAGCACCCACGACGACAAGCTCTGTCAGAGCCTACCGCTGCGTGTTTTTCCCTTACAAATTTCTGGCCTGGAGCTACACGACTACCTGCATCGAAACCAGCTACAACGCACCTCGCTGACTATGGCTAGGGTCAATTTTGCGTTCGGCGACACAGCCGAAGAAACAATCCCCATAACCCGCTGTTTTTATGTCCGATTCCGCCGGTATTAACGCCAACACGTGCTGCGGGGCGGCGGGTTTCGGCCAACAGCGGCCTCCTCCAGGCGCCCAGCGAAGCGCTAAGGGAAACCAGGGAGCTTTCCAGGAAACCCCCGCAGCCGGCCGCAGCTCGGGAAGCCCGGCCTGGCGCCCGCGGACGCCCCCCCCCCCCGCGCCCGAG